GGGGGGGGGGGGCCTTTTGTGCAGCTCTTGTCATCCCAGAGCTCTGGAGCCAGGCCTCAGACCACAGGGCTCCTCCCCATCCCCTTAGAAGGTGACAGATTCTGGGCTGCAGTCAAGCTGATGGCTGCACAGACCCCACCCTTCCTCGGGCCACTTCTGTCTTTTTTTCCAAGTACCATGTGCCAGGCTGTGAGCCAGCTGTAGTAGATCCTAACCATGAGATACTTGTTATGTGAGACCCACCCCCAGCACAATCCTGCTACCTGTCATTTTCTGTCCCAAGAGACCTCCACCATGGATATTCCCAACATAGGAGCTGCTGTGGGGAAATGCCACCATCACCTTCCCCAATACCTGCCCTGTGAGCCTCAGCCCGTGTGGAACCCTGTCACATGAGGACCCACCACGGGAACCTCCCTGCAGGTGGTCGCCATAGAAAACCCTGTCATTTCATTGTGCCATGTGAGCTGTCACCACACACCCTTCCACATCATGCCCAGCCTCCGAGTGAGAACTGACTCGTCAGATCTCACCATTCTTTTGCTGTCACATGAGACCCCAAAATGGGAGAGTTCTCAGAAGGACACCCACCATATAATCTGCCACGACATAAGGGCTTTTGAGGAAACAGCCCAGTGAGACTACCCAAGGGCCAGTCTTGTGGGCATGATCATGCCAGCACAAGTGGGCAGAGCTACGGCCCCACAGTCAGGTGTTGGAGTCGACACTGAGCCCCTGTTGGAACCAGTGGGCAGAAAGAAGCAGCAGGATGGGGTAGTAGGGAACCTCTTCTCCTCAGCTTCACTCAGCAATCAGGCCCATGCTGGCCCAGGTGGATGGATAAATGGACAGATGGATGGACAGACAGATGCCTAGGTTGCTATTTGGGAGAGGAACTGAGGGTCACTCTCCCTCTCTCCTTTTTCCAGACAACGGCTACCGGGAGTGCCTGGCCAATGGCAGCTGGGCCGCCCGCATAAACTACTCCGAGTGCCAGGAGATCCTCAGTGAGGAGGTGAGGCTGCTGTGAGGCCACCTGTGCCAAGGGGTGTCAGGGCCCCCAGCCCAAGGTTGTGCCTGCTACGTGGCTGGTGGCTGGTGGTTGGTCAGGGTAGAGGAGCCAGAGCTCACGTATCCATGAGGGAGGGTGTGCCAAGTGGATGGTGGCCAGATTGACAGCGATGAGCTGGGTCCCCCTTCTTTCCTTCCTCCCTCCCTCCCTCCTGTCCTCCCTTCCTCCCTTCCTTCTTCCCTTCCTTCCTTCCTTTCTTCTTTCTTTCCTTCCTTCTTCCTTCCACCCACGCTCACTGGACAGGTTTCCATCCATTTGCCACCTGAGCAACNTCCACCTCAGCCACCTGAGCAACATATCCAGGTGCAACCACAGGGCTATATCAGAATCGGGGTGGAGGTGGAGGTAGTGCAGTTCGAAAAAGGCCTTTTAGAGAGTCCTTTAAATAGGCAAATGTGTTTGAGAAGATGTTGCTTCCACATAATACAGAATTCAGAGGTACAGATGGGCACACAGAGAATGTCTCCCTCTCAACCCAGCCACTGGGTTCCCTCCCCAGAGGCAACCATTTTGCCAGTTTCTTAAATGTTCATCCAGGGACATTCTCTGCATATTTGAGTAATTAGGTGCACATATTCTTTTCTGTTTTTACCTAAACATTGCATATTATACACCCTGTTTGACACCCTGCTTTTTCCAAGCAATTATCCATCTTGGCGATTGTTTCATATCAGTAACTAAAGAGCAGCTTCATTCTCTTTTACATTTGCATAATATCACGTTGTGCAGATGGACCATAATTTATTTACCCAATTTTTATTCTCAGTCTCTGGCTGTTACCAACAGTGCTGCAATGAATAATCTTTTAAGGTTGACATTTGGCAGATGCGCGGGTATGTCTACCTTCCCGGTGCTGCTGCCCTGCCCCCCTTGTGCCCTCTCCCTACATCCCCACCCACCCCCTCAGTGGGTACTGAGGAAGGTGGGGTCATGGAGCTGGAAGCCTGGGGCAGAAGGGAGGATGTCCCAAGCTGTCTGAGGAGCAGCAGGCCTCTGGTGTGTGGAAGAGAGAGGGGCTGGCCCAGGTGATCCTGGGAATTCCTGTGCCTTGATGATCTAAATTGGACGGGACCTCGGAGACCCTCCATCCCATCTTAGTCTGCCCGGAACAAGAATCATCCAGAGCACTTGTTCAGATATAGGTCTCAGGGCTACACCCACACCCAGGAAGTGAAACTGTCCAAGGAGGACCTGGGAATCTGCCCCAGGGGGGCCTTCTGATGGGGAGAGAATGAGAATCTCTGACCTAATGCAACCCGTTCAGCCTACAGATGGGGAGACTGAAGCCCAGAAAAAGGGAGGGACTCACACAAGGTTATACGAGTGGCCAGAGTGAGTCAGGGCCTGGGCCCTGGGGCTTTGGAAACCAAATTCTCCTTTGCATACCCCCCAGGTAAAAGGCTGAGGTTGGGAGGACAGCTTTCCCCACCTGGCACCCACCCAGCCCTGAGTGCTTTGGTTAGCCCCTCCCCCAGGCTGCCTGGCCTCACATTGCTGAGATATTGGGGTTCTGATGTTCCTTTTCAGACCCAACAAAGATAGAGCAAAACTTAGCCTAAAAGAATGGCATGTTCTTTAGGGGCACTGGTTGGCAGGGTGAGGGACTCAGGATGCAAGGTGAGAGGCTTCTGGCATCTCAGATCACACAGGCCAGACCACGTGGTCCATCCTGGGCTGGGACGGTGGATGTGGCTCCGGGACAACCTGACCTGAGCAAAGATAGCCCCCAGGTTGCTAAGTACCCCCACAGTGAGCCAACCTGAGAAGTCCTGGAGTTGGAGAGGAAGGTGCCCCTTGGATTGGGGGAGGGAGGTGGGGTTCCAGATCAGGAAACATAGTTGAGTCAGATGAGGAGACCACAGGTAACATGGGCACCCTTTCCTCTGGTTACTGACTCAGCGGGGCTGCCACCCACACATCCCCCACCCTGGCCTGCCCTGCCTGGCTTAGTCACCCACCCCTTTCCCCAGCAGCCTCTGCTGGCCCAGTTGCCTAGCACTCTAGGTAATTAATTCATTTAATTAGTGAAAACGGCATCCCCTCTGCTAGCTCCCAGCCTTACCAGGCTCCTCCCCACTCCCAGGACTCCTGGTTTCCTCTTGGAGCTACCAAGGAAAATCTCCAATTAACCAAGCACCGAGTTTGGTTTCTCAGCTCTGGGTCCTGTATAAGCCCCAATTAAGCACCAGCGCCCAGGGGGATTGCAGATAATGGATTGGCAGACCAGCTGCCTGTGAAATGGGACTTGTGAGGGCACCCAAAGGCCAGCCTGGGAAGGAGACCTGCCCACAACCGTCACCACCAGAAGACAAGCCCCAATTGGGGAGCTTGGCTGTGCATGGCCCAGCCCTCCAGGATGGCACTGACCCCAGTCCCCACACACAGTCTCCTTCCACTGCAGTGACACCTCTGCTGCCCATGACACTTGCACACACCCTGCTCCCCTTCCCCACACTCTGCTGAGCACAGGGAGCTGGGGCCTCTGTGCATCCTGGGAGGACACGCCTTGGTAAGACATGGATGGGACTCTGGGGGTGCAGGCTTATGGGCCAGGTTCATTGCTTCAGAGGGTAGGCATTTGGACTAGAACTTCTGAAATGCTTAGGGCTCATCTGGGCTTCTTGCTAAAATGAAGATTCCTGACTCACTGGGCCTGAGGTGGGGCTTAGGATTCTGCATTTCTTAAGATTCCTACAGTCTCCTAGGTGATGCTGACGTAGCTGGCCTGGAGACCACGCTTAGAGGAGCCAGGGGCCCCATGAGGGAGAAGCTCAGGAAACCCAGGTGGAGAGGAAGGGCAAAGAGGGTGCAGCCAGGGCTAGGAGAGGCCAGGGTTGGGACCTTGGCAGGGGCAGTGGGAACCAGGCAGGGAGAACTCATTGCACCATCCTGAAAAGGCATCGGGACAGTCAGGCCTCAGCTACAGCAGGAGGGAGTTAGGGGTGATGGAGAAGATGGTGGCTCCACCCAGAAATGGGGGGACGAAGGAAGCCTGGAGGGTCAGTGTCTACACCCCCCAGGGCCAGGGTGTTTGAGCTGAATGGAAACGTGAGTGTGAGCACACCTGTGAGCCATGCACTAGTTTCTGTGCATGCAGAAGGGGACCCTGTGTGATGTGGGGAGTCAAGTTAACTGACATTTGTCCAACAGCACAGAGTAGTGGACAGAGTGTGGGATTCAGGTATAAACAAGGAGACACAGTCTCAAATTACAGTGACACATGGGGGCTCAGGGAGGGGTAACTATTGTTGTTAGCATGGCCCACTCTATTCCGGCCACCCAGGGGGCTGCCAGTGGGCACAGGGGTGGGGCTGTGCGGGAGCCTCACCTCTGGCCCTCTCTCTGGCCTCAGACGAAGAACAGGGTACACTACCACATTGCTGTCATCATCAACTACCTGGGCCACTGCGTCTCCCTGGTGACCCTCCTGGTGGCCTTTGTCCTTTTTCTGCGGCTCAGGTAAGAAGTCCCCAGCACTGTCCCCGGGCTTGAGCAGGGTGGAGAAGTCAGATGCAGGGGGCTGCTGGGAAGGGGAGTCCTGCCCCCTCACCTCAGTGGGAGGGGTGACAGCTATAGAGTTCCTGGTCTCCTGAAACCTCTGGCAGGGTCCTCACTTCTGCCCCCCTGCCTCGTAACTGACCAGGGTGGGGAGGGGGGAAAGCCAAAGCATCAGGGCTGAAAGCTGGAGGGAGACGTCCCACTGGAGGCCTTGTGTGCTTTCTGACCCTCAAACCTAGAACCACAGGGAGGGGTGGACCCACACAAGACATGGGCAGCCCCTGGTCCTGGAGCATTGGCTGTGGCAGATTCTGCCTCCAGAGCTTGGGTCTGGGCAGGTCATAGGTAGGAAGGGCCCTGTGTGACAGCCAGTCAGGCCTACTCTGAGGCTATTTCCCCACTCACACATCTGGGTTGGAGTGGTGCTAGCGGCCTATCCCTCCCTCTCTCTCTCCTCCCCTTGTTCCCAAAACCCACCCTCCCCTGCTGCCCCCAGGAGCATCCGGTGCCTCAGAAACATCATCCACTGGAACCTTATCTCAGCCTTCATCCTGCGCAATGCCACGTGGTTTGTGGTCCAGCTCACCATGAGCCCTGAAGTCCACCAGAGCAACGTGGTGTGTCCCGGAGGGGAGGCCAGGGGTCAGAGGAGGGTGGGGTTGCCCTGGCGGGGGTGGGTCCAGGGCCAGGCCCTGAGGCCCATGGAACAGGAGTGGATCCTGCGGAGAGCCCCATCCTGCTAAGGGGAGGCCCCAGGCCCAGGGTGGGGTGCTGCTGCTGTCCCCACCTGTCCCTCGCTCATTGTCATCTCTGGTGGGGGTGGGGGTGAGGTTACAGGGCTGGTGCAGGTTGGTGACAGCTGCCTACAACTACTTCCATGTGACCAACTTCTTCTGGATGTTTGGGGAGGGCTGCTACCTGCACACCGCCATTGTGCTCACATATTCCACTGACCGGCTACGCAAGTGGATGTTCATCTGCATTGGCTGGGGTGAGCTGGCCAGCCCCCGACTGCCTGCCCCAGGCTGCCCTCTCCTCACCCACATGCAGGCCTGCTGGCTGCAGGGCCAGGTTAGGATGGCAGAGTGCGCACCACAGCCTTCTGCCCCTACTTGCGGGAAGCATGTTGGGTGAGTGGGTCCCAGCTCTAACCCTGGGGACCCCTGCCTGCCTATAGGACCTGGGCCGCACTGGGGTCCTCCATGCCCTCACCTTCAGGCCCCCCTGATTGGCTCTTGACATTCGGTCTCTGCCCCAGGTGTGCCTTTCCCCATCATCGTGGCCTGGGCCATTGGGAAGCTGTACTACGATAATGAGAAGTAAGTCACCTCCTTCCTTTCACTGCCCTCAGGGCCCCCTGAGCCCCAGGTCCAGGCTGCCAGCCCAGCTTTGCCCCGAGGGCCTTCAGCCATGCTACCTTCCTTGTCAAGGCCACCATTCCTTCATCTACAAAGAGAGGGTGCTTGCGGCAGGACTCAATCCGAGGCTCCCTAGCAGTGCTCTGCCTGAGGTGGGGCTGGACAGGAGGATCCAGGCAACTTTATCTGTCTTGGGCTCTCACAGGCAGAACTACACGATGGTTACCAGCTGTCTGTGGAGCCAGACTGCCCAGGGTCTGAATGGTGGTCCCATCACTAATTAACTGTATGACCTTGGGCTACTTACTACAGCATGCCTCAGTTTCCTCATCTGTAAAGTGGGCATCCTAATAATAGTGCCTCCCTCATAGGATCATGGTGAAGATGACATGAGTTAATATATATTAAGCATTTAGAATAGTGTCTGGCACATAGCATATGCTGTACAAATGTTTTCTATTAATTTTTAGACTTGTTCTAACAAAAGATTCCACAGACTTAACAGAAATTAATCCAGACAATCTCAGAGACCCCTTCCAGCTCTGAAGTCCTGAGATGCCTTATTAAATGGATACAGGTGCTCCCAGCTGCCCCTGATAACTAGACTTCTGCTGCATGGTTCTCAGCCTTGGCTCCCATTAGAATCACTCAGGAAGCGTTAAAAAGTACCAATGCCCAGGCTCAACCTCCAGCTTGGATATAACTGGTCCAGAGTGTGGCCTAGGCACCGGGATATTTTTTAACTGCCCAGGTGATTCTACTGTGCACCTGAGATAGAGAACCACTGAGATAGAGGCAGAAAAAGGGGACAAAGCCAAGAGTGCCAGGATCTTCTCCACCAAAGTGGATTTAGGAACCTGCTGTCTGACGAGGGTTCCAAGTGGCCTCCATCAGTGACAATTCCTCCCCACCATCATAGAGAGTAGGCAGCCACCACAACCTCACTGACAGACACCACTGTGAGCCTAAGTCCCTGAGCAGGAGCATCATAAACCCTGGGCAATGGTGCTGGTGCCCGTGCCGGTGCCTGCAGGTGTGCAGGTGTGGGTGTGAGTACCGGGAGAAGAGGGAAACAGGTTTTCCAAAGCTGCTCAGCATCTTGGAGGCGAAAGGACACAGGAGCTGGAGAAGTTGGTCTGAGTGACTCTGGAGCCCCACCTTGTGGTGACATGCTAACACTGCAGCAGAAGGGATCCAGACTCAAAGCCAAGACTGGAGTTGACTCCAGAGAGCTCACATTTGGTCTGCACGGTGTTTTTTGAAAACTAGAATTTGTTGTCAGTCTTTAAAAAGTCAAGATTTTCCACCTAAAAATCTCAGTTCTGGTTTATGGAAGCATCATGAGATCTAGGCACTTCGGGTCTTCATGCCTACAGGGCCATCCTCTAGGCACAAGGAGGTGGGACTTCCTGTGTGCCCAGTTCACGCCCACTCCCCAGACTTTCCTAGAGCTTGCTGGAGGGAGCTCAGGAAAATACAAAGCAGGTCTGCCTCCTGTGACAGGTGGAACCTGCCTCCAGGTTGTTCACACTACAATTGAACAGGTTCAGAGATTGCTAGCTGTTGGGGGCCCACTGAGTGACAGGGGCATGGCAAAGCACCACCAGTGGGCATGTGCCAGAGCCACAGTGGGGACTGAGGGGAACATGGTGTGTTGAGCCCATTCCTGTTCCACTCAGTGGTCTTTTCCATGATTTCCCTGCCACACTGCTGGCTTCCAACTTCACATCTAATAATAGAGGGTGCTGTCCATTGTGCAGATGGGTAACTGAGGCACTGTGGTGGAATCAAGTGGCTTGAGCTTTTGCCAGAGTTGGAACTGGGGCACCCAATCCTGCCCTGGCCAAGCACCACCCCTCCCCTATGCCACTGGACTGGGCCCAGATGACCCCCTCCTCTCACCTCCTGTCTGTGGCCTTCTAGATGCTGGTTTGGCAAAACGCCTGGGGTTTACACCGACTACATCTACCAGGGCCCTATGATCTTGGTCCTGCTGGTAAGAACCTGGGTGGGGGGCAGGAAAGGGGCACAGCGCGGAGGGGAAGTCAGTGCCTACTGTGAACCCAAAGGATCCCTCTGCCTAGAGTATTTGAGTGCTAATGAGGGTGGGGGGGAGAGCAGTAGAGGGGACTAAGATCAGACCTGAGATGGCTAAGTCCCTGGCCTGCCCACTCACCCCCCGACATCTTGCACACATACGTGCCCACACCATCCCACTGTGTGCTTGACTGCAGATCAATTTTATCTTCCTTTTCAACATCGTCCGCATCCTCATGACCAAACTTCGGGCGTCCACCACGTCTGAGACCATTCAGTACAGGTAGCTTCCCTGCCTTCCCACCCTTGGGGGATCCAGAGATCCCAGCCTCTTCCCCCAGGCCTGGCAGGGTCCTCCCCCAGGCCTGGCAGTCCCTCCTGAAACACCCCCCTCCTCAGACATTTGGGACCTTCCACCCATCCCCCAGCCCTCTCTGGGTTGGGCTGTGACTCTGGGCCTCCCCACCCCCACCCCAGGAAGGCTGTGAAGGCCACTCTGGTGCTGCTTCCCCTCCTGGGCATCACGTACATGCTGTTCTTCGTGAACCCTGGGGAGGACGAGGTCTCCCAGGTTGTGTTCATCTACTTCAACTCCTTCCTGGAGTCCTTCCAGGTACAGACACCTTCCCCTCGCTCAGCCCTGGCTGTCTCACACCTCCAGGGGTGGGCACTCTCCCAGGAAGGGGACTGTAGGGGCAGGAGGCTGGGGAGGGAAACTGAGTGGGGCCACACTGCCCAGTCCCCTGACCTGACTTTTCCCTCCACCCCAGGGTTTCTTTGTGTCTGTGTTCTACTGTTTCCTCAACAGCGAGGTAAGGACCCTGGGCTGGGGCTCAAGATGGCAGAAGGCCTGTTGGGACCAGAGATGGTCTGTAGCCTTCCTGTGCCCTCCACATGCCAGCCCTCCTCCCTGCCCCCAGGTTCCTATAGGGATTCTCTGGGAGCCCAAAGAGGGCCCATGCCACCTGCCCACACTGCTCCTGCAGTGGCAAACCTACTCCTTTGCTCTCTTAGGCAGTTGACATTGGGAGGGGGGAAGAGCTGGAGCTTCAGTCTCATCCATGAGTCTGAAATGGGTTGTTGAAAACAGAAAGCTGAGCCCTGGGCAGGTAATGCATGTAGGTTGAGGGTAGGAGTTCATGGCAAAGACACTGTGTGGATTACAAAAAGCACCCCTTCCTCAGGACACTTGAGCAAACTGTCCCAACAAATATGCAAATCAACAATGTTGCAACAATGTTCCTATGTGGCCTCCTGTACACCTCACACCTGTGTACTATTCACCTGTGCACCACACACCTGTGCGCTGCTCACCTGTATAGCTGCTTGTCTGTACACCTGCTTGTGGCAGCCCTCAGGGAGGGAGGGCCATCCTGTGACTGGGTTCAAACATATGGTCTGCTCTATGCCCACAGGTCCGCTCCGCTATCCGGAAGAGATGGCACCGATGGCAGGACAACCACTCCATCCGCGCCCGGGTAGCCCGCGCCATGTCCATCCCCACCTCCCCAACCCGAGTCAGCTTTCATAGCATCAAGCAGTCCACAGGGGTCTGAACTAGGAGGCCATGAGCAGCCCCTGAGATCCATGGTGGGAAAGATGGTTGCCAGACTCAGCTGGCTGCGTGTCTGTGGAGGGGACCGGCTCCTTCCCATACCCTGTACCTTCAGGAGCACTGGCACTGAGGCCTGGAAGACCCCTCCCTGATCCCCAGCTGAGCAGGAGTTCTGGCCTGAGAGCAGCCACATTCTGGCCATGGATGATTGAAAAATAACCTATAAGACTGGGCTGGGCCCAGCGCCTCTGACTCCCCCTTGCCCCAGTCCCCCCTGGCGAATGGAATAGGAATGGGAAGCTGGGAAATCCAAAGTAGCATGTGGGTCCCTCCAAGAAGGTCCCCCCCAGAGTACAAGGTGGCTAGGGCACTGGAGACCTGGGGCTTCCTCCACAACTGTGGGGGCCATTCGCAACATGGGAAACTCTTGTGACAGCATCCCAACCACTGTGATGCCTCCAGGTCTTAGCAATGCCTTCCACCAATGCTTGGAACCAAGGTCATGTTGTCAGAGCTCTGGAGACATTAGATATCAGTGGCATCATCAAACATCAGGCTACGTTACCAGAAATCTTCCCAAGTCCCCAGAACTTCATCTAGCTCTGTGGCACTGCCACCAGAAATGCCCTGCCTTGCTGCGTTGCACCCTTGGACTTTGACTACTCTGCCAGCCACACGGCTCCCTCTCCCTAACCTCCTGCCTCAGGTGTTTCCCTCTTTGCTAGAAGATGGGGGTGGGAGGAAGCAGTCTGTGAGCAAGAGCCAGGGTGCACCCCAGCCAAAGCTAGCCGCCCTCTGAAGGGACAGAGAATACGGGGACTATCCAACCTGCTGACATAAGTGACCCAGCATCTAGACAGCCCCTCTGCTGGTCACAGAGAGCTCGTTGCCCCTGGATGGCCTCTGAGGCAGCACTGTTAGCTAAGCAACGATAGAAGGGGCAGGACCCTCAGGCCCTCTCTGGCCCCAGTGCCCTGGAGCAGGACAAGTGGCCCTTGGGTTAGCTGGTCAGATACAACCCAGGCATAGACTGGCCCAGCCCTCATTGGACCCACCCACATCCAGAGGTACTGCACAGACAGGACTTTGGGGGTGCAGGGCTGGGAGATGGGGGTGTCTGATGTAAATAATAATATTTATCTTTTCAACCTGCATTTGTGAAGTTCTGGACTGTGCTGGAGCTGGGCAGAAAGGGCCTGCAGAGAAATGGAGGCTACTTTGAGTGTCCAGGGGCACTGTGTGTCTGGGAAACCCAGTAGCACTCACACAGCCATCAAGGATGGGATGCTAGGTGAGCCCTGAGGGCTGAGGAGAACGGTGGGTCCTGGCAGACACAGGTGATAGGACAGCTCTTGTAAGGTGAGTTGTAGGGAGACATGGGCCATGGGTGAACGATGCAGGCAGAGAACACCATGGGCAGGGGCACAGTTTGAGCAGAGGTGTGGCAATGGGACCAGATTAGAATGTCCCAGCCTCAGGGGAGGAGTTTATATGGAAACAGTGAGCAGGTGGGGGTGTGAAGCCAGGAAAGGAAGGTGGCAGGAAGGGTGAGTGCGCACAGGCCCTCACACCTCTGGGCAGCTGGGGCTTAATCCTGCTGTGGACATTGGGGAGCTGGAGCCAGAGCTGGAGTGGAACACAGGCCTCCAACATCTCACCTAAGGATTGATGGGTATTTACCCACCAACTTCTTCAGTCACAGGGTGAAGGCTGCTAATCCCCCTGGCAGCCTGGGCCTGGCCGCTGAGGGACCGGAAGTGGCTGATGGGTCTCAAATGGCCACAACTGAGGCACCTTTCTCAACTCTGCGTTTCACTCAGCAAAGGAGGGGAAGTGAGAAAGGGCAGCTTTCCTTGGACAATGTTGGAATGTAGAGGACAGGGCCCCCCAAAGATGGAAGTGCCTGAGAGGGGCTGGGGGACTCTGTGAGGGGGTTGCACAGATAAGGTGTCCTGAGGGGGCAGGCGGGCCAGTGCCCCCCTTTCCTGCCTGTGCCTCCTCGTGGCTTTAGTTGATGGGCTCCCTCTGAGCGCCTATTATCCACTAGGCCCTGTGTAAGGACAGATAAGCAGCACCCCAATGCCAGCAGCCAACTGCTCAGCTCAGAGCTGCTGGCTCTGGAAGGTCACTGGAGGCCACCTCCAAGGCTGGCCGCCATCAGGGGAGCTACAGAGGGGTCCCTGGGCAGGCAGGGGCTGGTCCAGATGAGCCTCAGGACCGCTCCCATCCAGAGACTGTAAGGGGAGAGGGGCTGCTAAATGCACAGGTAGAAACATCTGGGCCCCAAAAAACTGTAGCTCCAGTGCCAGGGGCAGGTGCCCAGAGTTTAACCCTTCCAAGGCTGGTGTGTTCTGGGCTCCAGGGTTAGGGTGAAGGCAGGCCCCCAGATGGGGTTTCTGAAGGTCATTCTGCCCTGAGGTTTGGCCTGTGGGTGGGGCAGGAAGAGAGGTCCCCTAGAGATGAGTGTGGTTCTATGGGCCAAAAGACACACAGGCCACTACACTTCTGGGAGGGCTGGGCAGCTGGGGTGGGGAATAATCCCCTCAAACTGCCCTGCCTGAGCCCATTTCTTCTGGGGACCCTCCTTCATGTGCACAGATCAGCAGTGGAGAGAAAACCACAGTGAGGGATTTCGATTCTCCATTTTGGGCTCCCTCCACCTTCCCCGAGTATGACAGCAGAATCCTGCCCTAGGGTCCTCGGCCTCCCCTCCAGCCTCCTCAGTTCCCTGCTGCTGCTGGATCAGATCCCTTGGACCAGGACTGGGGAGGGAGTCAGATCTGGGAAATACATTTATTAGGAAGGGACGGGAGTTGGGAACCCAGATAATTCCTTCATTGTGGGCATTTGTAGATCTCTTTGCAATTCACAGAATCCTTTATGACATTTATTACTAATCCTCAACTCACTGATGGAAGTAGGAATCAGCCCATTTTACAGGCAAGGAAACTGAGGCCTGACGACTCCCCTGAGATCAATAGTCCTTTGGCTCCAAGTCCAGGGCTCTTTCTACCCCCTCCATTGACTAGGTTACTAGGCTTGAATTTGGAGAGACCAGGACTGATAAAACAGCTGTGGGGGAGGGGCAGCAAGGAGGCCTCAGTGGTTCAGATTGTCCAATTGAGGATGAGTCCCAGGAGAAGATGGGACCAGTCCGAAGATGGTCCAGCCAGTGGCCAACTGCTAAGTCCAGCTGGGTGGGAGCTCTGAGGGTTGTGTATGTCCACCCTGGCTCTCAGCACCCCTTTCCCACCTTCCCCACATTCTCCACCCTCCACTTCTTAAAATGATGCTTAACTGCAAACAGTGTAGCCCAAGCCACCAGAAGCCTCTGGGGGGTCTCTCTGCACCCACCCAGGCTCTGCCCAGCCCATGCGAGGGTGCCACTGGCCTCAGGACCATCTCATCCAGCCCCAAAATCAAACTCAACAGCCTGCCCTTGGTCCAAACAGAGGGAGTGCCTCCTGCATCTCACATACAATGACACTATCATTGATGGGGTGCTTACTGGGCACCAAGAGCCACTGAGCCCCTCACACGTTGACCTCATCTACTCTTCATACCACCCTATGAGGCAGGTGCTGCTATCCCCATTTAACAATTAGGGAAAGTGAAGCCCAGCGAGGTTAAGAGAGCTGCCCAAGGGCATGGGTGGATGTGAACCCAAGCCAGCCTCACTTACCCTCCACTGTGTTTAGCTCCTATGTAGCAGGAGTTCTCTGTAGAGTACCCCTCCCTGCCCTACTGCCCCCGCCAATGCCTTCCCTAGGGCTGCACTGTTTGCAGTTAAGCATTATTTTAAGAAGAGGAGGGGTGGAGGATGTTTTCCCAGTTCGTGGACAAACAACATACAGAGATGAAGCTAGATGTAGTAGTTGGTGTCTACAAAGCATGAGCCTAGGTGGACCCCTTTCTGAACCCAGCCCAGCCTCCAGGCCGACTGCAGTCTGCGGCCTCCCAGCGTTCCCTGAACCTGCTCCATCTCCAAGCATCGCCTCCTAGTCCCTACCTTCTGCATCCCACCAAGTCCTGCAGATCCTGCTGGGCAGGCTTGGAGCCAAGAGACACCTGGACCATGCATATTTTTCAAAGCTCTCAGTGTGCTGAAAACACCAAGGAGATCACCATTTGGAGATAACTCCCGAGACCACCAGACCTACAACAAGCCTGTCCTGAGCCTAGTGCCCCTGGTGGGGACTGCAGTGGGTCCTGGTTAAATACACATCACATAGAACTCGCCATCTCAACCACGTTCAAATGCACAGTTCAGTGTCATTAATACACTCACAATGTTGTGTAACCATCACCACTATCTATTTGCAGAATTTGTTCATCACCTAATGGGAACCCCACACCTTAAGCACTCACTCCCCATTCCTCCCTTCCCCCAGCCTCTGTAGGGACAAACCTGCTTTCTGTCCCTACAGATTTGCCTGTTTTCGATATTTCATAAAAGTAGAATCAGATAATTTGTTCTGTTGTGACTGGCTTCTTTCATGTAGGATAATGTTGTCAAGGTTCCCCTACATTGTAGGAGCCTGTATCAGAACTTCATTCCTTTGTATGCCTGAAAAACATTCCATTACATGGACAAACTGCACTTTATTCACCCATCCATCGGTCGAAGGGCATTTGGGTCCTTTCCACCAATTCCCAGTTACTGTAAATAGTGCTGCTGTGAACTGTCATGCACACGTTTTCGTTTGAACACCGCTTTTCAATTCTCTTGGGTATACACCCAGGAGTGCATCTGCTGGGTCAAATGGTAACTCTACGTTTAGCTTCTCGAGGAACCGCCAAACTGTTCTCTACTGTGGCTGCTCCATTTTATGTTCCCAACAGCAACCTATGAGGATTCCAGGTTCTCCAAGTTTTTGTCAAAACTTGTTATGATCCATGTTTTTGATAATAGCCATCCCAGTGGGTATGTTGGTCCTTGGTTTTTAAAAGATTCGAGACTCCCTAAGTGGACAGTGGGACCCCCCCAGTGAGGGAATAGATTGAGTGTCAGTAGCTGGGGGGCCAGAGAGAGTTTTCTTATCACAGAACTCAGTTAAGGGGCTGGCTTGCCCTGCTGTGCCCGGCATCTGGGTGCTGGGATACAGAGGTGCACCCAGTCTAGACACCTCTACACTCGGATAAGAATGGTGTCAGCTGAGTGTCCTTTCCCTCACTGTCCCCCCCACCAAAAAGCACAAGTCCTCCCTTTGCAACCAGAGCCCAGAAAAGGAGCAGCCTGTGCCTCCTCCACTTTTTCCAGCACCAGCCGGGGTACACTCACCATTCAGTTGTGTTTGTTCCCTAACACATTTCTGACAGTTAACTTGTCATTATAACTACTGGTTTGTAATCTAATTAGATGTTATATTAACGAAAGAATCAGCACACAAACAGCGAGCAATGTTGTTTCTTATAAAAACTCAGTTGAATGTTTTGAAAGACACAATCTAAGTTGGACAAAAAAATAGCTGTGAAATTAGGTGTGGGTGAGGCAGATGTAAATAATTGGGTGGGAGGAGATTGTCAGAGTCTACACGGTTCCACTTGCCAACCACTTTGCAAGGTTCTTTAAGCTCGCCCTTCACCTGACAGAGCCCACAGCTGAACGGAGGGGACGGCGTCCCCTCAGTGTGGATGTCACAAGGAAGATGACTTAGAACTGCAACGGATGGAACCATAACTAAAGGACAGGCCTCAAGGAAGGTCAGTGACTGTAGGCTGACTCCTTGGAAGTTAAAATGTGTTTTATGGGTTGAATTGTGTTCCCCAAAAAGACATGTTAGATCCTACCCCCAGTATCTGTAAATGTGACCTTATTTAGAAATAGGGTCTTTGCAGATGTAATCAAGTTAAGGTTAAAGTAGTTGAATGGGTCCTAATCCAACATGACTGATGTCCTTATAAAACGACGAGACACAGAGGCACATAGGGAGAAGGCCATGTGCAACAGAGGCAGAGGTTGGGGTGATGTCACTACAAGCCAAGAAACAGCAAGGATTGCCAGGTGCCACCAAAATCAGGAAAACATAGGAAGGATTCTACCCAGAGTCTCAGAGGGAGCATGGCCCTGCTGACACCTCAGTTTTGGACTTTTCTTAGTTTGCTCAGGCTGCCATAACAAATACCACAGACTGGGTGGCTTAAACAATGAGTATTTATTTTTCATAGTTCCGGAACTTTAAGATCAAGGTGCCACTGGATTCAATTCCCGGTGAGGGCTCACTCTCTGGTTTGCAGATGGCCACCTTCTTGCTGTGTCCTCACAGGATGGAGAGTAAGATGATCTCTCTCTCGTGTCTTCTTATAAGGGCACCAGTCCCACTCATGACATAATTACCTCCCAAAGGCCTCACCTCCAAGTACCATCACACTGGGGATTAGAGGTTAAATATATGAATTGGGATGGAAGACACACAAACACTTAGTTCATAGCAGACTTTTAGCCTCAAGACTGAGAGAGAATAAACTCCTATGTTAAGACACTCAGTTTGCGATTTGTTAAAGCAACCGCAAGGAACCAACACAATGCATAAAGTCTGTAGGTAACTTTTTAAAGATTCCCCTGTTGAATCCACTTTTTCAATAACCCCATCTCCCACCCAGTCCCACTCATCTGGGATGAGCAGGCCAACCATGCAGCCCCGAGCACAGCCGGGTTAGTCATAGACTCCACTGCCCGATAGCCTGGGTTCTAATCTCATCTCTACCACTGATGTGGCATCCTGGAAAAGTTTGGTCACTGTCCTGTGCCTTGGTCCCTTCTACTATAGAACAGGGTCACTCATTCACGCATCCCACACATTTCCTAATTGTCACTTTTTATGCCAGAATCCAAGAGCAGCAGGTGAGAATAGATAAGGTTCCTGTCCTCGTGGAGCTCAACCAGAAGACAGAAAATAAACAAGAAAACACATAAACAAGCAAAAACCTAGGACTGAGATAAGAAAGTACATCCTGAGTTGTTGTGATCATGACATGCTAAGAAGCAGGCTGTTTTCTCCTCACCACGGAGATAGAGATATCACTGGAGTTAAGGCCTGAAGGACAAGAATAAGCAGCAGGTGAGGCTCTGGGGCAGAGATCAGGGATGCAGAGCCCGGAGCCCTCCAGCAGCCAGGAGCTAGGCAGGCCCCAGGCAGTTCCCTGGATAGGGCAAAGCCTAAGGGACCTGTCCAGTGTGAGAGCTAGGTCTGGGGATGGAGATTGGGGCTGGGGCCCACTGGGTGGGCTTCTCTGAACCTCAGGTTTACCCACCCATGACATGGGGTGTTCAGGTGAGGTTAAGCTAATATAACAATACCCATAGTAAGCCAATGGCTTAAGAATATAATGCAATGCCATCCCTGGTGAGCGTCCCATACCACTGCTCCACACGGACACCCAGGGACCCAGTTCCTTCCCCTTCCTTCCTCCCCTATCCCTTAGGACAATGTCTTACTCTCCATATCAGTGACCTATACCTGTCCATGATTGGCCTGTGAGAAAGGGAAAGAGATGAACAAGGAGCCTACAGCTTCTGTGCAGGCCTCTGAAGGGCTCACATTATTTCTGCTCAATTCCATTGGGAAGAAATGGCCATGTGGCCATTCCTAACTTCAGGGGAGGCTGGCAATGAAATTTCAGTCACTCACCAATAGAAAGGGGCATGGATTTGAAGGACAGTTCACCGCCTCTAGTAATATCTCCTTGAGGACAAATCAAGTACCTGGCACTTAGTAGGAGCTCAACAAAAATGCACAATATGATGGGGGTCAGGGGTCCCAGGGACCTCAGAAACTCTCTGACCCAATGTCCTCATTTCTTTGCAGCTAAAGAAATAAGTGGAGAGGCGAGGCTCTTACAGGAGGTAAGAGGCTGAAGCTGGCCCTGAATCCTGTCTGGGACCTTCAACCCTATCCTCCCACATCTTATTTCAGATTTCCTGGCTCAGCCCCACCTGGTGCTGAGCAGAGAGCAGGGACCCAAATGACCTCTCTACACAGAGGCAGTATTAGAGGGAGGACCCTGGGAGGGACCCTGTTTTCTGTAGCAGTGCCCTGGACCCTGTGGCACAGCTTTATGACTAGGTAGGTGTGGCCCTGGTTTCTGGGATGGGAGGCCACGCTGCTCTGTGACAGAGGGCCACACCCACCCCCTGGGAGGGGGAGCTGGGCCGCTGGCAGCTGCCAGGTTGGGGTGGCTGAGGAGGATGTCGTGCCTGGGTTTCCTCCTCCTCCTCCTCCTCCTCCTCGTCGTCGCCAGTACAATGGCCCAGGGGGAGTACGGCGTGGTCCACGTGGTGTCACAGAACTGGAGCAAGGACTACTGCGTGCTGGTCAACTCAGATTATGTCACCCTGCCCCGGGACCTGCGCCACGCCCCACTCCTGCCCCTGTACGATGGCACCTCGGCACCCTGGTGCCCTGGCAAGGGCTCCTTCCACCCAGCCCGGCCCAGCTTCCCCAACAGGCGGCCCCTCCACCGGACCACCGCCATGGTCATGAGGGGCAACTGCAGCTTCTACGCTAAGGGCTGGCTGGCTCAGGGCCGAGGAGCCCACGGGCTGCTCATCGTGAGCCGGGTCAGTGGCCAACAGTGTTCAGATACCAATGTAGCGTCCCAGGACCCCCTCAAACCCCCGCCTGAACTCACCATCCCAGTGGCCACGATCCGATACACCGACATGCTCGACATCCTCAGCCACACCTGCGGCAGCACCCTGGCCCGGGTGGCCTTGTATGCGCCCCCAGAGCCCATCCTCGACTACAACATGGTGGTCATCTTCATCTTGGCCTTAGGGACGGTGGCTGCGGGGGGCTACTGGGCCGGTGTGACCGAGGCGGGTCGGCTGCAGCGGCGCCGGGCCCGAGGAGGGGGGGGGCCTGGGGGTCAGAATCAGCAGGACGTGGGGGTCACCCAGGGGGGGCAAGAGGAAGAAGATGAGGACACACCCGTGGACTTCACGCCGGCCATGACGGCCGCAGTGGTCGCCATGTCCTGCTCCATCATGCTGCTGCTTTACTTCTTCTACGACAGCTTTGTCTACGTCATGATTGCCATCTTCGGCCTGGGCGCGGGCACCGGCCTCTACGGCTGCATGGCCCCCCTGGCGCAGTACCTGCCCCTGCAGCAATACCGGTGGTCCCTGCCTGGTCACCGGGCCTGTCTGCAGCTGCCTCTGCTGCTGCTGGCTACCCTGTGCGCAGTGGTGACCGGTGTCTGGGTCGCCTACCGCAACGAGGACCGCTGGGCCTGGCTCCTGCAGGATGCTCTGGGCATAGCCTACTGCCTTTTCGTCCTGCAGCGCGTGCGACTGCCCAAACTCAAGAACTGTACCTTTTTCCTGCTGGCCCTGCTGGCCTTTGACGTCTTCTTTGTCTTCATTACACCTCTCTTCACCAGGACCGGGGAGAGCATCATGGTAGAGGTGGCCTCAGGCCCAGCAGATTCCTTGAGCCATGAGAGGCTGCCCATGGTGCTCAAAGTGCCCCAGTTGAGCTTCTCGGCCTTGAGCCTGTGTGATCAGCACTTTACCATCCTCGGCTTCGGTGACATTGTGGTCCCAGGCTTCTTGGTTGCCTACTGTCATCGCTTTGATGTGCAAATGCACTCACGCCAGGTCTACTTCATGGCCTGCACCATGGCCTATGCCGTGGGTCTGCTGGTCACGTTTGCTGCCATGGTCCTCACGCAGATGGGCCAGCCTGCCCTGCTCTACCTGGTGTCCAGCACCCTGCTCACCAGCCTGGCCATGGCGACCTGCCGCAAGGAGCTCACCCTCTTCTGGACTGGCCAGGGCAGAGCCAAGACACCCACCCAGCCCATGGCAGGGCTCTGTGGAACCCATTTGGTTGGCTCTAAGCAGAAGCAGAAGCAGGAGGACACCACAGGTGTCCACACAGCCAGTGAGTCTGAGGGGACCACCAACCACTTGGCAGGGGACTTAGATAGCAATCTCAGGGAGGACACAGCCAAGACTGTCACTATATCTGAGGATGAAGCAACAGCTCTGGTTGGCTACAGTGACAGCTCCGAGGGCTGGAGTGATGCCAACCTGGACCCTGATGAGCTGCCCCATGCCTCCCCCAGGGCCTCAGAGGAGCTGATGCCGCTAATGCCACTGATGCCATCACTCTCAGAGCTGGTCCATGCCAATGCCCACACCCAGGCCCACATCCACGCCCAGGCCCAGGATGCTCACCTGCCCTGGAGGAGGTTCCACAAAAGGAAGAGCTTGAAGATAAAGAAGAGCATGTCAACCCAGGCTTCCCTGTGAACCAGGCCCTGGGACATGTGCCTCCAGAAGGGTTGGCGGAATATCACAAAGCAAAGGTACACAGGGCAAAAAGAAATCAGGGCATTAAAGATATTCCAGATGTACTCAGCAGAGCTTCTGTTTGTTAGGATGAGAAAGCAGCAGCCATGGAACGAGTCCATGCAGGGCCCAGAGGATCCTTAGGATAGGCACAACCCCGAATCATGCAGAGGGGTAAACTGAGGCTCAGAGGGCAAACATGACTTATACACATAAAGTTACTCAGCAAGGTCAAGATTTTCTCACAGGGCTTGCCAGGCAATGACTTCCTCTCTCCCTGCCTCCCCAACACCCACCCCAAGCCAGAGCCCCAGCTCCTCAGCCTGGCAGACAGGCTACATCCTGTCCCTGTAGCCCCACCCCAGCTTCACTGCCCACCTCTTCTTCATGCTCAAGTCCAACTGAACCATTACTGTTCTTTGATCATACCATTTCTCTCCTCTCTTGCACATGCTGTTCCCTCTGGCTGGAATGCCCTTCCCCTTCCAAATTCCCCAACCCATCTCCCGGGCTCACCAAAACATTCCTCACCATCCTTCAAGCATCAGCTCACATCTATCCTTTCTGCTAAACATCCCTGCTCAAGGCTTCCTGTACAGCAGTACCACGCCCAGGTGTTTCTGCACAGACACTGAGTGTGCACCTGCTGCATGCATTACCCTGTGATGGGCACCAAGGGAGGCTGCCATCTAGCTGGGGGATGGGTGGGAAGTAGAAAACAGGCAAGAAACAACCTGAGAATTGTCTTAAAGTGGAGGGTAGAAGGTTTGGAGCTGGAGTGGAGGAATTTAGGAGACCATGAATCTATTTCCCATGCTTCCTTTATTGACTCTGGATAATAGACAAGTTCCTTAACCCTTTGGGTCTCAGTAGTCTCATCTTCAAAATGGGACTTCAATGCGATGTCCACCTGAGGACGAGGGCACAGACAAGATGACCTCCTGAGGACCCCACAGTTTTTTAGGCCATATGGTGTGTTTACATGTTGCTTCAGCAGAGCTAACAAACTCTGGGTTGAGGGGAAGGCTTCCTGGAGGAGGCTATGTTGGAGGTCAAGGAATCACAGTCTATGGGGCAGTGGATGATACAGTAGTTAGGGTTCTAGAGCCAGCTGCCCACCGGAAATTCCTGCTCTACTGCTGACCTATACTGTGTCTTTAAGCAAATGACTTAACCTCTCAGTGCCTCAGTTTCCCAATCTATAAAATGGGATAATAGGACCCACCATAGGATTTTGGTGAGGTTTGAACATACTAGTTTACGTAAGGTGATTGACATGTAGCTGCATGTAGCATAAGCTCTCCAAATGTTAACTCTATTCATATTGTTTCCCTTTGTGAAAGCCTTTCAGAATCAAATCCACCTCCTACAAGGCCTTCAAGTTCTGGCCCCGACTTCCTCCCCTCTTCCCTCCATGCCCCGCATTCCTGCTCCTACCATTATGAGGGAGTGGACAGCAGACTCCACGACACCTGTCTTCACCCACAGGACCCTCTCACGGGCTAGCTCCTCTCCCTGGAGCTTTGCCCTCCTCCCACCCCCAGAATTGGAACTCCAGGCCCAGCTTAAATACCCCCTCCTCAGGGAGGCCTTCTTTGATGATCCTTTCTAAACTAGCCCCAGCCTCAATCACATTACTATACACCTGTTCGCTAGTCTTTTCGTCTCCCCCAGTTGACTGTCAGCTTCATGAAGGCAGAGACCACTCTGTCTTGTTCGGCTGAGTAGTTCCAGGGCCTAGAACAAGGCCTGGTGTGTAGTAGATGCTCAATTTATGTTTGTTGGAGAAATGAATGAATGAATAAAATGAACAAATGAAGGAGGAATTAATCCATCTTGAACCATAGAGGAAGAGAGGACACCTCAAGGTAAGGTCCCCAGGTCACCTTCATGCAACTCTAATGGAACTGGTTGGGCACTATGGGTGGGGAGTTAGGAGGTAGCGGGGGTTCAAGTAATGGGCATCTTAAAGAAAGCACCACTTGCTGGTCCCCTTGGTAAATAGTACCTGAAGGCCTGGACAGGACAAGGGCAGTGTGAGGAACCAGGGCCAGGATCCTGACTGAAGGTGTTGACAGTCCCTCCTACTAAAGCCAGAGGCCATCTGGCCTAGACAGAGGGGCCTCTGCAGGCCCTGGCTCATCCCCAGCCAAAGCAGCCTCCCCACTGCTGATTTGCGTCACTGGCCCTGCCAGGGATGGGCTATACCCTCCGCCAGGTCCAAGGGGGAGGGCTAGACAGAGCCAAGCCTCTCCGTACCCCGTAACCCCCCAGACTAGGGGACAAGGGAGCTTTTCTCTCCCAGAAACTTGCAGTCAGGGTGGCTCTGAGGATGCTGGGCTCGAGCTCCCTGCAGCAGGGCAGATGTCTATCACCAAGGAGAGGTTCTCCAGGGGAGGGTCTGGCTCTGTCCACGTCTGAACACCACAGATTTAGAAAAGTATGAGTACAACACTGTCCTCACTACTCTCTATCCATCAGAGGCAAACATTCAGAGAACACTTTATCTATAAAATGGAATAACTTCAGGGGGCTGTGGTCAGTATTCAACCCCCCGGTAAAGAGCTGAGCCTGGGCTCCAGAATTCATGTGGTTCTGTTGCTGCGGCTGCTACTCTGTGATGACTCAGGGTCCCCTGCACCTGCCTTGGCCCCAAAGCCACACTCCTCTTAGCTTTGGGCTCAGCCTCACTTTCCCAGGAACTGGGCCAAATCCAAGTTGTGCCCACTCAGAGGTGCCCAGAACTGGCAGCCCCCACCTGAATGCCAGAGGATCACAGGGTACTGCACATGTGTATGTATACCCATGTACACCCATGTAGACATGTGCCCACAACCATACTGTATCCATACATGCACATACACGCATGTACCTTCACACCCTGCACAAACACACACACACACGTGCACACACATACACCTGGGCTCTGACATTTTCTGCTGTTCTCTTCATACCCTGCCCTCCCCCTCCAGGCCTGTCCTAGGCCTGTGGGAGTGGGGGTGCTAATGCCTGGACTTCCTACCCCAGAGGGCAGGGTAGCCCTTTTTTGGTGGGGCAGACACTGAGACAACATTCAGACACCTTTTGAGAAGAATGGCTGGCCAGCAGCCTCCTCCCAGGGCTGTCTCAGCTTTCCAGCCCAAGTTGCTCTTTGGAGAGATGGGGACATGGAGGGCCAGCTAATGATGAAGCAAGACAGCAGTGCCAGGAGCTGGCATCTCCCCGCAATGCCTCCTCTCACTGGCAGCCTTTGTTCCCGGCCTGCTGGGCTGGCAGAACAGAGGCAGGCCAGCATCCCAGTCTGATGGCTCCCCCTGTGCTCACCTGCTTCCCCTTCTCTCGTTTTGCACTCTGAACTCCATCTCAGTATCTGCTTCCTGAAGAGCCCAACCTGTGACAGGCGAAACCTAAGATGGGGCCAGGGCAGGAATAGCTCCCCAAGGCCAGGCCCAGGGCTCCAGGTAGCCCAGCCCCAGCTCTGGGGCTGTGCTTTGCTCAGGCTGCCCAGTAATTCTCTTTGTGGCCTTGTTTAATCTCAGCAAGAATCCCATGAGCAGAATAGTCACAAGCCTGTTGTGTGTGTTTTTTGTTAATAAAGAGTTTGGTAGTCTAGATTCCCTGGAGAGTGAGAACCAGCAAGGACCCATGAGTTGCTCTAATCCACAAAAGAAAGTCCAGAGAGGATCAGAACCTGCCCACCGTCACACAGCAATGAGACAGCAGAAACAGAACAACTCTGTTCTTCTGCCTCCCAGCCCAACAGCTGGGTCAACTCCCATCACCAACCACCCTCTATCTCCACACACCCTGGTCTATAAAATATACCTCCCCAGGAAAATTCTGCACCTACCCATTCCTTTGCCTATGCCCCTCAGTAGGTATGGCCCTCCATTCTCACTGAGTAGTTGTGTGTGTTGTTTGATAAGGAAGTTTGTGATTTAGCATTGAGCATCTCCTCAGCTCGCACAGGAAAGACAGCTGGACACTGAGCTACCAAGACCTGTTTTCAACTCCCTGTTCACTTGACACTGGACAGCTAAGGCTATCCCACTGTGCCTCAGTATCCCTGCCTGTAAAATGAGCTGCTAAGACTTCCCTGTGGGTTTATGGTAAGGATCAAATGAGGTGAGGTATGCATATACACAGCTAACACTTGCCAAGTACTAACACCAGGTTAGGTATACATGTTATCTCATGATGTGACGCCCAGACGTGGCATCCCCCCAAATGCTCTTTCCCAAATCAGCTTTCGGTTCCTCGGGGGTGAGCTCCCAGAAGCAGATTCATCCACTTCTCTTGTTTCCCCTCCCATGCCCACTGGGATGAGGTGTGTGTGTGGGTCCCTGGTGGCTAACTGGTGTCACCACCACCACAGAGTCCGGAAGAGGGGTCCCTCTGCGGTTTGACTAAAACGGGAAGATTTTTTTGCCTGGTTTTTCCTGAAGTTTGAGTGGTCCTGTGCTGCCACCTGCTGGTCAGTACAATAAGAGCAGGCGAGCTCACACCCAGGAGCATCCCATTAGGGAACTTTGGAATAATTACAATCAGGGTGATATCCAAATATAAACTATAAATATAAGTTATAAGTAGTGTGTGTGTGTGTGTGTGTAGTGACCTAAAGGGTGATATCCAAATATAAACTATAAATATAAGTTATAAGTAGTGTGTGTGTGTGTGTGTGTGTGTGTGTGTGTGTGTGGTGACCTACCCATCAGCAGAGTTCTGAATCCCTTACTGGCCCCAGAGTTAACTCTTTAGAAGCTGGCTGTGAGGAGGTGAAGGTAGCCTGGAGAAGGGTCTGCTATTTTATGAAATGAAGTAGCCCCAACTTGTCCCACCCCACAGAGTCAGGCCACCCTGAGTAAGGGTTTGCAGACCCCAGCACTTGGCCCATTCCTGGGGGGTCTCCTGTATCGTCCTCCTACCCCAAAGTCCTTGTCCTAGTAGGTCCACAGATGCCCCTTCCCACATACAGCAGCCATTATTCATTTTGTGTGAACAAATCCCTGCCCACCACTGGTTTACTTTCCAAATGCTTCATTTATTTTTCCCATGATCTACCCTTCAGCCTCTAGGGCTCTTCCAGGCATATAAGTCTGAGTCCAGGTTTCATGGCTCACTCTTGAGCCCACCTAGAATAATGGAACCCCAGAAGGGGTGGCTGGAAAGGGAGACAGGCTGTTACTGGGAGGACTTTA